AGCTTATTGTTATTACCATGCAACCTAGGCTGTTAAGCTTAACCTCACTATCTGTCTGAATATCAAACATCTTGGGCATAACATGGAACAGGTATTTTTCATCAAGTATTGCTATGTTGAACTTTAAGTCCCTACAGAATATGATGAAAAAGCATTTTAAAAATTAAAATATATTTTAAAAATAGGCATAAAGAATTATATACTTCTTATGTGTACACGTAAGTCCAAAAAACTAACCATATACAACCTTGAAGCAGGACAGTCCCACAATATGCCTTTTCCTGTCTCTTGCTTTCATTCACCACCCCCTTCTTTTTGAACAATCATTTACCCAAGAGACAGCATGGCAGCAACTGGCATGTCATGACAAGCAGCCCGTATTCAGAAGACTAGAATGGCAGGCACTCCAAGCATGAACCTACTATTACAAATTGCCATCTTCAGTGCAGATGCTTAGTTCACAGGTATCAGTATATATGGTTAGTCAGGGTGAGAATCATTCCAATTAACAGCTAGATCCAAAAATCTTCTGAAGATTCTCAGGATCATTGCCTTGCCCATCTTCTACATATAACTGTATGGCTTCCCCTGTCATGTTTCCTAGCTCTTCTCCTTGCTCTCTTTTCATTGTCTATAGACTGGACAATTCTTACAGGAGACTTCCCTTTGTCATTCTTAGCTCTCAGACTTTGAATGCTGGTTCCAACCCCCTAAAAAGCTTCACTTCCAAATTCTTCCTAGCACCACATTGGAAACCACTGGACCTTAACGACCAGGAAATTGAGATGATCGAAAGGATGAGGTGACAGTGAGATGAAAAACTATTAACATTTTATTTTTTTAGTAGGCTAGAGAAGATTGTATTAGTGTTGATTCTGGAGTTTCTAAGATGTGGGCTACTGAGGGTAAGTAGCTCATTATAAAGAGGCAACCCTAGAGAAATAGTTTCAAGAATAGGCAGGAGCAAAATTCAAAAGCAGTGAAAAACTCAGAACCCAACGTTTCCATTCCTAGCCCTGGACCTCTCTTCCAAGTCTTTTCTTTGTTGTTGTTGTTTGTTTGTTTATTTGTTGCAGTACCAGGGGCCAAACTCAGGACCTTGTCCTTGCCAGGCAGGCACTTAAGCCACTGAACCACATTCCCCGTCCTTCTCTGGCAAATCTATCTATGAAACTTTTTGTCTTGAAACAAATGTGTATAAAGGCAGCAGGCACCAAGCACAGTCATGAAGATACTCCCACCAAATGTCAAACTCCAGTTCTTCACTTTTTGTAATTGTGGAATGGGTTGGGTTCTATGCAGTGGGCTGATTCCTAACAGCTCCACCACTGTTGCCAACATTCTGCTTAGCCACGATGTATTTAGACTTTATTTCTGTCAAAGTCTAATGATGACATTTAAGACAAAGTTAATTATCTGTCTTGATTTGCTATAATCAAAATTTATTAACCTTTGGGCTCAAATATCATGATGGTTGATGTACACTTTATTGTGGTTTGGTTTACTTTGGATGTGGTAATTTTCATTGACTCAATTAACATTTGTCAATGAACATATATTAAATATCCTCAGGACGAAAATCATTACAACACATTTAAATTCAATAATTCTACAACTGTTCTGGGATTGAGGATGGATGAAGAGATGAGTGGATAAGAAAGAAAACTAATTTCTGGTCCATCCCATCCCACAGATACCTAAAAAAAATAAAACTTGCATTAACTTGTGGAGCAGGAAAGGTGTCTCCAATCTTATTAAAAGTCCTAATGGAGGGCTCCAGCTGATGCCTGTCACAGAATCCTAAAAGCTCCCCACTGCAATTTGTCGTTTCCCTGGAGCTCAGAGCTGAAATTCTTTTCCCCAAAGTCTCCTGTGACTTGCGGGTTGTCCAATCCAGTTTTGCTCCTAGACATTATCCAAATCCTATCTCTTTGCTTAAATCTTAAAACATGAGATGGTTCCTTACTACTCTTGCTCATGGGATCTTTTTGTCGGCCAGCTTCTTAAATTGTTGGTGTTTCCCGCAGTCCTATCCCTGGCCCACTGCTTTTCGTAGCCTACAGGTTCATTATTTGGTAGCATTGCTTACTTTCAAGGTTCTAACTTCTCCTCACTGCGCACAGCCACCACATTTTACCTGTGCTTCTTGCCTCTCTCCAGAACCTCAGACTGACGCACGCAGACCCCTGCTAGCGATAATGTGGGTATGCCAGAGACCCTACCAATGAAACCAAATCAGTCTGCAAAGGGCATGCATTATCCAAACTACCGAGAGTGCAGGAATACAACAAGCCCATGCACAAAGCACTTAGGGAAACAGCACATATTTGAAGGAAAGATACATTTTGAGAGTGCTATTTGAAAAGCTATCATTCCAAAGAAACTCACAGATTAGTGTTCTTTCAAAATATCTAGCTCTGGGCTGAACCCACTGTGTCAATATTATAGGGACCATTTGTCTATGTCATCACAAAAGTGACCATGGTTGTCCTTGGTGTTATTATAAAATATTTTCTTATGAACCAAGTTTTTCTCATCTTTTAACCCAAGACCACCTCATAACAGGAACTGCTTTTATAGGTAATTGGTTCAAGAAGAAACAAAAGCACAGAAAATGGTGATGTTTCCTAGTTTGCAAAGCAAGTGATCCTGGGTTCCGAGGTCTGTCTGTCTGAGTTCAAATCTCTGCACTGTCACTCATAGTGCATGTGATTCTGGCTTCTTAACTTCTTTCCCGTGCAAAGCCTGTTTTTCTTTTTGTATGGAGAATTGATCTCATGACCTTGTGCTTGCCAGTCAGGCGCTGTGCCCCTGAGCTACAGCCCCAGCCCACTTAACTTCCCTAAGACTCAGTTTATTTACCTTTAAAGGCAGGGAAAGTATTATCAATTTCCCATGGTTACAGTAAGGGTTAAATGAGTGATGTCATGCTAGTTAGCATAAAACCATGCTTATAATGCATGCCCCATGCTTTGTAAATATTCAGTGTCAGCATCGTCCCATTGCTGAGAGCCCTTTAGAACTGATTAGGAAAGAGATGTGACTCAAACATCTGAATCATGAGAATCATGTGTTTCTTTTCAGCAAATTAATCACTGCAGCATGCAAATCTTTTTTGTCCCCAAAGCTGGGTTCTTGCTAAGAGATGATAAGATTATTTATTCATTGGGAGAAAATGTGACAACTCACTTTATAAATAAAATGCCAATCAGTACGTAGACATAGTTCAAATGTAAATATCGATAGCATTTGTTGCAAAAAAATTTGGGGATATGAATTGACCTATTTATTCTTAGTATAATCAATTCCATGACCAGTGAGGCTGATTCAGTTACACAAAAAAATTCTACACAGTTGGTGGCAAAATTCACTAGCCAGAGAGGATAATATTAGAAGATTTATCGTCCAAGGGAAAACTGTGTCCTTGTATGAGTCAACCACTAAATATCTCAGTTCCCATATTCGCAAACTGGTGTACATAAGACACTACTTATTTTCTAGGATTTCAGAAAGAAAAATATAAGGGACTATATGTGAAAGGAATTTAGCAATTAACATGTTGTATACATTGTTTTAATTGTTATTTTTATATTAGCTGCTAATATTTCACATATCCTTAGCCAGGAAAATGAGATATGAAATGACATAAAAATGCTGAATGATTTCACTGTGTGATTACTTTGCCAAGAAACCCTCTTTTGAATTGTCACATTATTTTATTAGGTTCATATGCTATGCATTGGGAATTCACATAGGTGAGAAACAATTTTTGTGTTTCAAAGGATGTCATTAGTTCTAGAAATGAAAAAAAAAATCAAATCAATTTTCTGATGTCCAAATATGAGTAGCCAACATTTTGTCATATGTTTATTTTTTTCATTCCAATTATTTCCACGAATAAAAATTTTTTGAAATGTAAATACTAAGAAACAAGAAAAATCTATCACTGATATAGTGACCTATAGAATTTTTTTTTTCTTTTTATGTGTTTGGTACAGGGCCTCACTATACAACTCAGATGCCTAGTGATCCTTTTGTCTCTGCCTCCCCAGCACTGGGATTAAAGTCATGCATCACCATGCCCAGTCTCATTTAGTCTTTCTTTTTTTAAGATTTATTTATTTATTTGGTACAGGATCTCACTACACAGCTTGGGCCACTACAGCATGTAGTACCAGGGATCAAACCTGGGTCCTTGCACTTGTCAGGCAGGTGCTTAAACCACTAAACTATCTTCCCAGCCCTTGTTTGGTCTTTTTGAGACAGGGTCTCATTATGCAGTTTAGGCTGGCCTTGAGCTCACTTTGTAGCTCAGGCTGGTCTCGTAGTCCCAGTAATCCTCCTGCCTCAGTCTCCCAAGTGCTGGAATTACATGCATGCACCACCAGGCCTAGCTTAGAATTCTTTTAAAGAGAGCATACTTGTGATTGCTTCACTGTTTCACCCCTTACCCCCAAGTATTGGGGATTGAATCCAGGACTTCATGCATGCTAGGCAAACCCTTTACCACTGAACTACACCCTAATCCTTCACAGGTTTTAGACCATGTCTCATCATTAGTTTTCTGATCAAAATGTGAAGTTAGACCCTTTCAGCTGTGCTTCATCATAAGATCATGGTAGTTTTATAGCCCCAAAGAGCAATAGAGATGATCTGCACTAGCCCTACAGTTCTCTTCTGGCCTTATCATTTTGTAGATAACAAGCAAGCTCAGAAAGATGACTGAATTCTCCATAATCACAGTTGACTGATCCTGGTCTCCTGACTTAATCCAGATGTTTTTTTAGTGAGTATGACCATACATGTTATTTTTTCCTTATTACATATACTCTTTTCTTCCTTCCATTTGAGGTGTTAGCCTACATCTGATTGCTTCACTTTTTCCATGATAGACTACACTTTGATTAGAGTTCATTCTAGAGCTTTCACAAGAATACAACACTCCTGGAGTTTTCTATGTAGAATCTAGCCTGGGGTGGGTAGGAAATCATCCTGCTTACCTCACTCCAGTTTCCAACAATCCAGTGTGCCTGACTGTGGTCCTTAGCAAGTTGCTTATAATCAGAGGCATTCAGCAAAAAGCCTTCAGCAATCAGAATGGTTGCATCTTCTTCAGTCAGAACTGGTCCAGAGCTCTGTGTTTGGTTCATGTTTGGAAGTTCTAGGTGGTCATGATTTACTGACATTCCTGAGGGTGTTGGCTGATGCTGTTCTTCAGCAGGAAATGGAGTGTTATATGGCTTTTCAGTAACCATTATTTCAGTTTTGGGTGTTGCATCTTTAAAGGTACTGGGCACTTGATTAGGTAATATGCCTTTCATCACTGTGCTGAAAGGATACGACAATGACGCATCCCCATCCGGAGGTGTCGGTGGAGGTCCAAGTGGGATTTCTGTACTTCTTTCCCCTGATGCATCATTTCCAGGCACTCTCATCTTGTTCCATATTACAGAGTTGCTTTCCTCTTTCTTCTCAGCCTGTTCACTCCCTTCCCCTGAGCCACTATGAATCTCCATTTCTGGATCTTTTGCCAAGGTATTATAGAATGGAGTCATCTGCCAAGTCACAGGATTGCTGGAAGATGACAAGTCAAGACCACTTGTTGTAGCTACCATGTCGCCATCTGAGGTAATACTCCTATCTGAATTAGCACCATTTTCATCACTGGTCTGGATACCTGAAGACCAGGAAGTGAGGAGGGGCTGAGAAGTGCTTCCAGTAGAAATGAGATAGTGGGAGTCCAGTTCAGTTTGGCTTGAACTGTTTTGCCACCATTCCCCATCCAAGTCTCCCTCTGTGGAAGCTGTGGTGGGGCTGGTGCTGCTGATTGCTGGAGGGCTTGTGCTCAGAGTCTCAGGCACTGTGGGCCTGTACAGTAGTGTGGGCTGGGATGAAGGTGAAGGGGTGGGGCTTAAGGGGTCTTGCTCAGATGTTGGTAGATTTTTCCCGCTGGGCGTTGTGGCTTTGTTGGGCTTCAGAACCCTCCGGCTTGATGGGCACTGCTGAAGGCCACACAGAGCTCTGCTATTTGGTTTCTTTGTCTTGTCACAAGGCTCACCATGGTTCTTGGTACACACGACACTGCGAATTCTCACTCCACCACCACAGGAAACGGAACACTGGAAAAGAGAGAAAGCTGTTAGTTGAGCAGGAAAAGTTGCTTTGATTTTCCTGGCCAGGTTGATAGTTGATCAGGACAGGCCCAGCGGCAAGTGGACACACAGCTAACATTGTCTTCTGTCTCTATATATAGTTTCAATGCTTTTGGTTTTCCATGAAAATACGTCTCTCTAGTGGACAAGCTGGGGCTCAGGACTACCCACTTACTCCTCATAGACTGAAAATATAAGCCTTGATGTAGTCAAACTGAAGTCTCTTTGGCTTTGAACACTGGACAGTGGGATCAAACAAGAGTACAACGATTTACACAAATCACCCAGTTTTTTAGCAAGAGTAATACCATCTCTTTTCTAAGGCTGTGGTATTATTAAATTAATGTGAAATGGTTACATAGTCTCAGGAATCTATTAAGTTAGGTATACTGAATGTTTTTCATTCTACTTAGGAAATATTGTAAGTCATATAGATTCTCGAGTATAATCATTGCCTAAGGCAGGCAGAAAGAGATTAAAAGCTTAATACTTACTATACTCATACACATTCATAGAACCAAGACCTTTTCTGAAATTTAGGGATGAATGGTTAATCAAAGCTGGGTTACACCTTTTCTCTCGAAGTTAGGTCAGTCCCTTAGCATGGTGCTGATATACACACTGTGGTTGTGGCCTGTCCCTCTCTCTTCCCTCCACATTGAGGCCATGGCCCAGCACAGGCCACTACATTGCTTTTGGGGAATCTGGATGGGATAGTTCTTTCTCAAAAATCATGACATAGAACATTAGTCTCACCTGTCCAGCAGCTGCAAGTCATATGTAGTTGCCACATAGTTGAAATATTTCATACTTTTATCACACTGGCATTCATTTAGTTATTGTTTTTTCAGTTATTTAAGGTTTTTTTCCTTGTCTCTTATTTTATTTATTTAAGGTTATGTTTTATTTTCCTCCTTTTAAAATTTTAAATAGAAAGCTCAAACAAAAAAGACAAAGAACAAAAGCAATACAGAATTTCAAAACATGACAGAAAATTAACAATGGTTGTTATATTACATATTATTCTCATTGGTATAGCTTTAGCTGTCATTCTCAGTGACATTTTAAATCAACCATTAAACACCTGCCACTTGAACATGGACCACTCAGCGCTAGCTCTGGCTGGTTCACATTTTTCTGTCTTGTGTATTTGACCTCAGGCCAGATTTAAGGATGCAACTGCATAATACTCAGTGGAGTCCAGGGGCTTCAAGTTATCACTCTGTAATGACTGCGTTAGCTCTGAAGGATTTATGAAGCAGGAACTATTATTCCACCTTCTTAAGAGAGGAGCCCAAGGTCTGGGGGCTTTGATGACAGGCTGCATGTCACTCCCAGAGCTAAGAATAGATTTAGTCCACATGACAAATCTTCCCTGCTTGCACCTTGTATAACACTGGACAAGTAGCTATCCCTGGAATCTCCTTATTCACTTGAACAAATATTTTATTTCTTCTTCCCCTCCTCCTGCTCTTCCTCCTCCTTCTTCCTTTTATTTCTGTGGTACTGGGGATTGAATCTAGGGTCTTTGCACAGAGCTACAGCTTCAGCCACTTTTAATTTTTTTCATTTTGAGACAAGGTATTGTGAAGTCAGTAAGTTGCCCAGTCTAGGCCTGATCTTGCTATCCTCCTACTTCAATATCTTAAAGTGTCGGGCTTAAAGACATGTGCCACCAAGCCCAGACTTATCAGGACAATTCTATTTTTTTTTTTTTTTTTTTTTTTGGTACTGGGGATCCACCTCAGGACCTTGTACATGCCAGGCAAACACTTGCGCCACTGAGTCATCTCCCAGGCTCAGACAGTTCTTAAGACACGTACTTATACATATTTACTAAGTGATCGTATTATCTGGAAACAACCAGGTGGGAAAATTCTTGCCCATAAACTTACACAATTTTTTTTCACTTAAGTTCTTTGCCTTCTCAACACCTATTTTCAATTTCTTCTATGTAAGAAAATAATATTGATGTAGAATGTTCCCTCTTTATTTTGTTTCAATCAAGCAGAATCACTCACTGATGTATAATGACTGTGAAATCAGCTACATTGAGAGGCAGAAAATGCCTGCAGGCACAGGGGAAGGTACAACCAAGAGAACAACCAGCTGCAGTCTGAACTCTATCAGCAAAGCTGTGACTAAGATGTCAACAAAACACTTAAATGGCCTGTTCTAAGACTGACCTTCCAAACCCAGTTTAAAATCACAATAGTACTAATTTTCAGTGGGAAGCACACTTCATGCACCAGGAAATGCAGACTTACTTGCTACCAAGTTGAAGCTCCCAAGTAAGGGTTGTGGAGCACAATAGTGATGAAGTGTTTCCCACACTTTTGACAACTCAAATGAACCTCTAAAGGGCAGGCTGGAGATATTTCTTTTCTGGTTTCTCACAAGATTTCTGCTCTTGTATATTAAGATACTTGCTACTCCATCTGGTTTAGTCATCCTGAGTCTCTCTGCTTGTCATATTCTAAGCTAAACCTCTCAAATATCCTTTCTGTAAAAATTTGTCCGTCCAACCAAATCATCCTCCATGTAGGTCTGAACACATTTCCACGCTGGTTGCCTCAGGCAGGCTCAGTTGAAAGTTGAATCATAAAGAGCCCTTGGGCCATGCCAAAGGTTCTTAAGCACCAGGTGGCCTCCCTTGCAATTTTACTTCCCTAAAAGTATTAAAGTAGATGGTAACATAATAGGACATTCTTCAAATTTTTTTTTCACTCTTTTCCCCCTCTTTTCTTGGCTTATTTTGACTTGAAATATTTCTGATAACTTGGGGAAGTGAGAATTCAAAATACAACTTGGTAAAAATTTTTACACATGAATTACTTGATGAGTATGTGCCCTTCACTACTCCTACAATGAAGTACTATATAT